CCCAAGGGGAAATTCATGTATAATGTGATAATGTACAAATCTTGGGCACCAAATCACCAACATACTCATTGGTCATCTGGGAATACACTGAAAAGCTGATCATTTTGTTGTTCACAAATACTCGAGATTGATTTACTACTTTCATGCTCAACCAATTTTGTTGTTTAAAATGAGGAGCTGTTGCTCTTTGAAGCTTGATAATTGAGAAACAATGATGCCCTCGCTTGTATTCAGGAAATGCTTCAACATAGGACAAAAAATGAGACGGACAATTACTGAGAGAGAGGTTTATTTTCAGCCTTTTAGCTTGCTATGGTATTAACTTAATTTTAGTGATTTTTGTCATCCATTGCTAATAAAACAAAGATCTTACTCAGCATTTTCAGTTGTGTCACTCTGGCAAGTAAAACCACATCATTCCACATTAATACACGGCTACATCACCAACAAGAATCTTATAATCCCTGTAGAATCTTTGTCACCTTCCCTTGATGCTGTCTCAGAGCATTTGCGATACTTCTGAATTAAATACAGGATTAAACACCAATTTATCTCATCTTTGGAAATTTCATCATCACAGTCAAGGGGTTTGGCATTGAATACTTACACAAAAATAGTGGCCATTGTTAGTTCCAGTCCAAAATGTCAATTTAATGGTCCAAATTCTCGCTGCTGGCTCCCTCACACAGTCACAGTCCTCCAAACTCCTCCATCCTAATTCGCTTCAGATGGCAGATAAGAATTCACAGAAGCACAACGGCCCCTGAGGATTTATCACTTTCTTGTAGACATTTTAGCTGCAGAATCCAAGCTCCCTGAGGCCGACATACAGCACTATATCACACTGAAATGAGGATCTATGTGTCTGTGCAGACATGAGCATGTATGTATTCATTCTTTTTGTGTATGCATTGCTCTTCCTCAGGAGAAATTCAGCCAAAAAATGTCACTGCAATCTTCTTCTCGTAGGATGAATTAATCAACAGCCTGTGATAAATGGCAGCTTTAGCGCAGTATGCTCGGGATGTTTCCAAAGACTAACCCATTTTAGGTCTGCATGGAAAAATTCTGAGTGTACTAATCCACTTTGGAGCGTCTGTAAAAGGGTGTTGGTGAATTATTAACCCAAGCACTTTTACAGATTCTGGCTCCAAACAAAAAAAAAAGAAAAATCTAATTCTATTTTTGTGCCTTTACTAAGCAGAAAAGCAGGCAGACAGAATTAACAGACAGTAAATATTTAGGCATGTTTGTCCTCTCCTTGACTGTTAAAGTCAGATTAGATTCAATTTATTTACTGTATAATGCGCCAAGGCCCCAAACGTGTTGTCCTTATATAGGCATGAAGTCAGGCTGTGAATGTAAAAACAACAGTAACAGTAAACAGGTGAATCCAAACAAACTGCAGAGGCGGCCTGAACTATGAGAACCAATCATCGTGGATGGAGAGTAAAATTTGGATTTGAAAGCTTGGAGGTTACGTTCTGAAAATGCACTGTAGTTTCACGAATAGATTCTGAAGGTTTCAAATTTAGATTTAGATGTGTGCAAGAGATGCAAAAGATTCGCTTTCAGCTCTTTCAGACACACAGACCAGTGACAAAGGAAAAACCAACATAAAACCTGTGTCTCACTATGAAGGTGTGGTCCTTCATCGTCATCGTGGACCACGAAGGCCGAACTGAAATGAGATGGTCTGGTCTGTTTTTGCTTTGCAACACATTGGTTGGGGCGGGCACAGCTGGTGATGCAAAGTGTGTATCCTGTTGCCTAGCAACCCTGACGACACCTAACTTTTTTGTTACAAAAACTTGAGGTTTTAAGGCCCACATTTATAAATGTAATCCTTTATTATTTTCATTACTGGTGCGCAATGAATCTTGGGATAGTTTGGGCCACGAAGGATCCATCCGTTGGGGCCTTTGTTGCCCAGGAAAAGATTTTTGATGGAGCCTTCAAAATGAGACAGTCTAGTTGCGCCGCTGTGACGCAATTGGTCATCATCATACTCATCCAACCGGTGAGTGATCCCTCATGCCCTGTGGATGGGGGCGTTGTCTTCCTGTTTCTCCTCATTTCTCAGGTTTTTCCTTTCATTCATCACCCGTCTGCGTCTGACACTGTTTCTGAGAAGGATCTGAAGATGAAAAGATGCTCAAACAAATCTGGGTGGGGACTAACAGTCAGCAAACAGGTACGCTGCTACAAGTGTTTTATTCTGTCAGTCAGATGTGAAGTCATTTTAAAAACAGAAAAGTTCCGCTCACCAAAAGAGATACAACCAGAGATGGTGGTTTTTTTTTTTATTTGAATCATGTCTTGATTATGAAATAATGTGGCAATCTTAATATAAAAGTGTTCTTTCTTGTCTTCTGCTGATTATTGAATAATATCGTTAGGCTCTAATGTGGTAATCATTTATTATCCTGCAGGCATTATGCAATCACCTCCGGAGATTATGGCGCCCGCCTCATGTCTGCTGATCATAGATGATTACCATGTGATTAGGAAGGTACAGTCTGAGTTATATACAGATTATGAAAAAGTTTTTTTTTTTCCTTCAATATCTCAAAATCACACAATAGCTGTCTCATGATCTCAAAGAGAACAAGCTTTATCGTGAAATTAAAATAAAGATTTGAGGAGAATAAAGACACACTATCTGCATGACAGTATGACACAGTATGACCTTTGATCAGCACATAGAAGCCAAAAAACTACTAAAGGCTGCTCATTCCTTTCATGCACCTCACAGTGAATGATACTGACCATGACCTTCACTGATGATGTGTGTCAACCTGCTATATGTATTTGTATTTCGCTGTCTTCCCTCATTGTGTCTCGTTGTCTTCCCCCTTCCTTCCTCCTGTTTTCATACCTGGTTGTGTTTGGATCACCTGAAATTTTGTTTTTTGTTCACCTTCCTGTACTTCAGTGTTTCCACTCGTCTGCCTGTAAGCCAGTTCTTGTTCTTTGATTAAATGTACGTCACTACACCTGCCTGTCACTGTGTACTTGTGTTGCTTTAGCCGCAGTAGCAACATGGCTGTAGGGGTGGAAACATCAAGTGGTTGGTGGTCCATCACTATAGTCAAGACAATCCAGTCAACTACTGTCTGGATTACCATGACACACACGGGTCAAGGGTCACCAAAGGATTAATCGTAATGACATTAGTGATCTTATTTCATTTTGTCTTGCAAAACCATGAGGTGGACGTTTGTTTTGGATTGAGATATCTCAACAATTGATGGATGGATTGCCATGAAATTTGGTTCAGATAGTAACAGTCTATAGAATATAAGGCTTAATGACTACTCAGGTACTCAGGTACTCATGGAAAATGCTCTGCAACATCATAGGAAACAAAAGCAGGCAACAAGAAAATCCACTGGGAATAAAGCAGACAAAGGCTCAATCCCAAGGCCTGAGCCCTGAGGCCTGAACCCTCACACACTTAATTGACATCACCTTCCCGTTAACACTTTCCCGTTAAAACGTGTTGTGTACAATAGTGGCTTTGGGAGGTTTATTTTACATTTCTATTCCCTCCCTGTTTGTAAACAAAACAGTAATGTTGGATAAAACCTGATGAAATCATATTTGGAATTCATCATCATACCATCATTGGACAGATAACTGCACACAAATAACTACTCTGAATCACCAGTGTAAACCTTTTTTTTTTTTACAGGGTTGGTGGTTTGATCCCCAGTCTCTGCTTTACACATGTCAAAGGGTCCTTGAGCAAGAAACCAAATCCCAGTAACTCCCAATGGCCGTTCCTGTACCTTGCATGGCAGTTCCACCAGCATCAGTGTGTTTTGTGTGGGTGTAAGAGAGGCATGTTAGCATGCTAACAAACTAAACTAAGATGATGACCATGGTAAACATGTTATTGTTTTTACTGTGCGCATGTTAGCATGCAGGCATGTTTTCACCTAACTGCTAAGTAAAGTCAGAGATGTTATAAGAGAGAAAACCACTTAAAGAACCCTGAGTAGATTAGTCCGTAACACCAAAGATGGCGGCTGTATGACAAAATTGTCTGCTTTATATTCTACATCAAGTCAAGCGCACAGTTTGAGGTTTGAAAGTCAGTGTCATGGAACCTTACACATGCATGGTAACAGTAGAACCTGTCGAAAAAAAAACAACCTTATTTTGGGGAAAAGTCACCAAACTTTTTATGCATTTTTTACAACCAGTCCTTCAACCTGAGGGAGCATACAGGTCGTTTGTTTCAAGCCTCTTATACAACCCATTGTCATTGTTACAACCATTGTCATGGTTACAATAATAAACACACGGACTGTACAGACAGCAGTGTACTGGCCTTCGTCGCCATGGTTACTATAATAATAATAATGATAATAATAATAATAGTTGGTTAGGTTTAGGAAAAGATCATGAGGTTCATGGGTTAAAATAGGCCATTCCTTACAATTACATGGTCTTTGTTGTCATGGTTACAATATAATCTGCGAGTTTCACATGGGAATCAAACACCACTCTCCTGTGTCATAGTCCTGTGTTTCGTTGACCCATCCATCCACCACAACCTCCTCCTGATGTGGACTTTGTCTCTCTTTATACTACGTCACCGTACTTTTCCCTTTTTCTCCTGTCATAATTACTACGACCCCTAGATGTCGCCTAGCAACTGTAACTATGGGTCAAAGTAACCTGCTGCACAAACGACCTATAGGCTCGTAATTGATTTGTGATTGCTGTTTTTATGCCGTGGTGACCATTGAAACTGAAGTTAAGGCTCTTTCCCCATTCAATTGGGCCTGGACTTGGCAGCCATTTTGGCAACGCCCTCAGGCTAACGAGTGGTAAGACTTGCCTATAAAAACTTTGGTACAGCCTCAAAAGCTGCTAGCATGGCTGTAGACTCTTAAAGTCTCCAACTGAAACAAGACCAACCACACACAAAGTTCCATTAAACATATATACATAACACATCTTTTTTTTTTTTATTGTTGAATAGTCACAGATAAGGTATAAATAGGACAATGGCATCATTTCATAAATATCTAAATATGGTCTTTAGTTTACTATCTATCACAGTGTACATTCTCATAAAACCTTTTTAGTATGCAAGGCCACCGAAATATATTAAATTAAAGTGAACACATTATTTATTTAACACCCTTCACAAATTACAGTACTTCATGTCTGAACATAACAGTTTGACTTACAGGGGAACTGTAAAAAAAAATCAAATGAATCACAATTTGACAAAGAAAATGTATGACGTGACAGGAAATCAACACTGCAATATTAAAGCACGGTTCAAATTCCCATTAGGAGTTGACAAACGTTTGCACAGTGCAGAGATGTTTATACAGCACAGCCAGTTGTTACAATGACCTTCTCTGAGATATATTTTAAGGTTTTAGATCAACTTACAGACCACAAGTAATGAGAACATAGACATCAGTATCATCCATCTGCTGTTGTATGAACATGTGATTAGTCATAGGTAGTGAGCAGGAAGTGAAGAACTTGTAACAAATGTAACACTATAAGTCAATGTGCCTCAGACAATATGGTGGAAAATGCTATAACAGAACACTGACAGCCAAAACTAACTGCACAGCAGGTGAACGCATGATGGTTTATTTAATGTTGTTACAAAAAATAAACATGTTCACAATCAACTGGTTTTTTTTTTGTTTTTTTAGTTTGAAAATGTAAAAAAATCTACTTGTAAAAGTATAAATCCCTGAATTAAATAAATTTAACACTGATCGGTAAGTCATTGTTACTGCTTCTCACTCAGTACACCGCAACTTATTATTTTAATGTCTGTGTTCTCATCACTTACAGTTAAGTCTTAAAAAGAACTTGATATATTCACTTTAGAGATATTACGTTGTTGTTATTCAAATAAAAATGACTCGTGCTTCCTTCCTGTTTAGGCACCACCGGTTAACGCCTGCCTGTTCTCTGCATAGTCACAATCTTTCCTCTCCTCCTTCTTCGCGGTGGTGGTGGCAGTTTGTTTCTGAGACAGACCCTGGATCAGTTTGGAGTTGAGGAAGCGTCTGTAGGAGTCTTTCTCCATCAAGAGGTAGATCATCCTCTGAGCCTCGTCAAAACAAGAGGGGCAGGGGTTCTCCACGTTCTGCCTCGTTTGGTCTCTGGTCGATGCGTCCAGGTTTACCTGAAACCAACAAAGAGGAAGGGGGAATAAAGGGTTAATATACAGAAGACTAAAGCTGTTGGGATTTCAAGTACATAGGGGGCACTGCTAAGAAAATGACCTTTTTATATTCTGCTCTCCTTCCCCATCTACATTATGTTTGATTACTGGCACTGAAAGTTTTATTCTTTATGTTCAATTGTAGATACAACACACACACACACACACACACACACACACACACACACACACACACACACACACACACAGACATATATATAAAACATAGTCATATATCGTCAAAAGCAAAGGACGAGCCTAAGTGGAGGAGAAAACATCATTGTGTTTATTTCCTTTTTGCATTTTTTGTTATTTAATTTTTGTCAAAAGTGAATCTAATGAACTGAACTGAGTGAAGCGCCAAATTTTTCTTTTATTTATATTATGCATCCAGCCTCCTGTGATAATGATAAAAGCAAAACAGTTTGAAGCTTTTAATCAGGCAGCTGAGGGAATGGTCATTAGTACAACAGTATTATTCATGTGCACATTCAAAGCTTTCATGGTCACAATCAGCCCAAGTATTCACCTCACTGAAGAAGAATGTGCATTTGCATTAATATGATTCACAAAAATGTCTTTGAAGCGTGTCCAGCTTTCAAACAGTCTCGACATTTTTCCTTTTTCCTTTTTCTTTCTTTGCCATTTTTGGAGTCCGTGTTTTGTCTCCCACATTTCCCACATTGTAACATTTATTTAAAGATTACAGATTATAGATTTATGAATGTATTTTCCTCACACTGAGCAAGCTCTCATATCACCACTATTACATATTACATATTTTACAGATAAAGTAATTACCTCATTAGGAGCATCTGCCTCAACGTACTGCTGGTAGATCTGCTTGGCTCTGGGCACCAGCTTGGAAGACGCTGTCTTCTTGTAGTCTTCACAGGCGACCCAGAAATCCATGTTCTCTTCGCTGAACTCTGACCTCAGGAAGCTGGTGAAGACTGTACGACCCGCTAATGCAGAAAGACAGAAAGTTTCTCTTTAATATCAAATCCAACCTTACAGACTCATGAGTGGAGGTGTAGAGGATTGTCATTGTCAAAGCCTGGTTGCCCGACTTCTTTAAGCTGCATCGCTCTGATTTCAGGTACCAACAACTGCACCTACTGGAGCTTAATTGTGTCTGAGTTTCTGGGAACAGGAAATTGTTAAAAGAAAAATATTACAGCAACGATCAGCCATGGTTGCATCCTGTCTTCAAGTGTTTTCAAATAATCAAAAAAGATTACGACACAAGTCACAACACACAAGTCCAAGATCCTTCATGACTAAAAAGACAGATGGAGGAGACCACTGAGACTATGATAAGATAAACTAAAGACCGGACCAATGAGAGCTGGGAGACGATGTCGGGAAGGCAGAAGGAAGGACCTGACAATGCTGGGGGTCATTGAATGAGGTCATGGAACAGAGCAGGTCAGAACTCAGCTGGTTCCCGCAGGGCCATTGCTCCCCTTTTGTGTCCATATATACACACACAGTGTAATTCTCAGAAGGCTTTTGCACACACACGCGCACACACACACACACACACACACACACACACTTAGCACTGGTCAGCAAGCCCTGAGGGGCCAATGACTGGTGCCTCTAGACACGTAGCAGAAAACCAGAGCATGAGAATGCGCCAGAGAGCGTAGCGTCTACTGTGTGTGTGTGTGTGTGTGTGTGTGTGTGTGTGTGTGTGTGTGTGTGTGTGTGTATGTCTCAGCCAAGTCTCCTTCAGTCTTCTTTAACATCATGAATGCAGAGTTAATGTGTGCAGGGTGATGCTTAATTCGCACATTTAAAAAAAAACCAGCTCATCATTTATTTTGAAGTGTATGCCTTATAAAGGATGCACAAAGAGATCAAACCTCACTTTTGGGATCCCCAAAAACCTTACCAGCAACCGTTACCAAGGAATGTGAAGGTCAGAGACATGTCTGACAATATTCCCATGATTGCAGCATCATCATGTCACATGAGAACGATCATGTTTAGGATGTTTTTCTTTAATAAATCCTGAGAGAGATGCTGCTGGAGAACTAATGAGTCTAGCATCTGTCAGACAGTTAATGTCAGCATTAATATAGCATCAGACAAAGTCCTCTGGGCTTCTTTGGAATTTAATTGAGCCTCATTTAGCCTTGTTCCAGTTCAGGTTACATATTTCTTTTGTAGGAGTGAAACTGTAATGTAACACTTACTGTCACTGTTCATGATGTGGCTGAAAGACTCCTTCCATTTCTTCACCTCGGTTGCAGTCGGCACCCTAAAAACACAGATAAAAAGGTTTTTTTTAAATAAGGTTGCACAGAGTTTCCAAAGATAGGTGCGTGCATGCAACTATTTCTATGTAAACTCCAGAGACTCACACAATTAGTGTTCAGGATATGTTTTCATTCAGTGTTTATCCCATGCATGGATTTTGTATGAAACTACTTCAGTTAACAAGCTCTAATGAGGTATTTGTTGCAGCAGTACTTCCTCCACTGAATAGGTGGATAAACCGCCCTCCTGATATCCCATTCAAACGAATACAAAAACCTGCATTTGAAATATAGTCTTAGTCATGTTTCCATCACAATGACACAGCTGTGCAGGGAGGATTTGGAGTGCAGCTCGTCGTGATCCCAGCCGCATTAATTCACTGATCAATAACGGATAGCAAATCTAATCACAGCGTCATGCGTCATCTGACATTTACACAGCAAAAACCTATAATACAATAACGCCTCCTTGCAGATTTCATCGCCTCAGAAGCAACGGCAATAATGAGGATAATTAATAGCTCCTACCCGTTTAGAAAAAGAATAATCTATATTCATATAAATCACTTGAACGGTGCGTGTCACAGAGGCTCTACAGCGTGTCTTTGTGTTGTGAATGGGATGAGTGATACAGCCGCTCAACAAAAAGTGAACACTGATTATCTGTAACCGTGTCTGAATGGGTTCCACGGTTCTGAGAAGGAAAGGTCAGGGTGATGCTAACCTGCTCATAAAGAACAATAAGAGGCTTCCTGAGGGAACACGACCCGAGGACAGGTCAAAACGAGGCTTAATGTATTCCTAAGCAAAAGTTACACCTTCTCCATGGTAACACAAGCCAACACCTGCAATACAATTACAAACATGAAAAGAGATTTACAGGATTTTTTTTTTTTTTTTTTTTTAAATCTAGCAGGAAACGATCTCTTTCCTCTTGAATAAAATGGCTTTTCAACTATGTCAATGCACATCACCTATTCATCTCTCTGCAAACAAAACCCCAAAACAACAGGAAGAAATTTCACAATAAAGTTCCAGTGATTCATTCAAAGGTGGTCTACAGTTTGAATGCTGGCACCGTCTGAGATTTTCCCTCTTTTGAAACTTGGGAGACGGTTCAGTCTGTCAAATCTTAAGATTCAAGCCACAAGTCAGTACTGGGTTAAAGTCAAAGCTGAGTCACTTTTGATTTTGAAAAAAAATTATGGGTTTTGGATTTAGTGTAACTCAAATTACAGATTTATGGAACATGTTCATCGTAAAGCAGCATTTATAATTTTATAACCAGGGAGTGCATCTTCTAAGAGGCTGCTACCATAACCAAACCACCTTCATCATGTTTCCCTGTGCAGCCCTTCCAGACTGAAATACATTTCATGAATTCCTTCTTTTTTTTTCATGCAACACACACAAACTGCTTTTTTCAAGACACATGAAAGCAGAGTTATAATCTGTGTGACTGTGAATAAATTCTCTTTCTGAGGGGAACTAAAGAATAAACACAAACTGGAACAAATATATTAAACTGTACACACATTGAACTAATAGAGATGAGTTCCTCTGACCTTTTTGCAGCAGCAGCAGCAGCAGCAGTAGAGTTCTTCTCTTTCATCTGCTTCTGATCCGCTGTTTGGGGTTCAGGCTTCTGGAGTAAGAAGCTTATTTTGTGCTTGATGTCTTTGGCGCTGTGGAGAAGCAGAAGAGAGGGCAGTGAGTGAAATGCATTTTTTTTTTAAAGATTTCAGTTTGTTTGTATTAATAACATCTGCACAAAGGCTTGCTTGCATGGATGTCAGCTGGTTCCTCTTTGTCTGTATTTAAATGTTGATTTCAGATCATGCAAGTGTCTCTATCTATTTCACATTTCAAAGAATCAGCATGTGCACAGAGCATCCTGAAATGTTCAACAACTGCATTTTACTGCAGTTACTTTTACAGTAACAAATTACATCAGTTTCCACCTGTAGGGTCTTACCTTTTCAAGCATGTTGCAGGAAGTGTTGCAAGTCCTTTACACATGGTGGAATGTTAGAGATCCAAAGTCAGGACTGTTGTTGCTGTAGATGACGACAGGGAGACAACAGTGTGACTGCAGAGAGCAGCGCTCTTCAGTATAAGACGGCAGGCTGCGGGTGTCTCCACCCCCAGCAGTGGCTTTATACCTCCAGTCTGCACACTGACAGTGAACTGACCAATCACACCAAACACAGAGAGAGAGAGAGAAAATGGGAAAAAAAACCCAGTGAGGGAGGGAGAGGGGGAGAGAAAAATGGGGGAAATTTACAGCAGAAAAAATCATATGTAACCAAAACAAAAGGTGTTTTCCTCTGAGGGAGGCGTCTCAAGAGTTTCAGGAGTCACTGAAGTCATCCCTCTGTGGAAAAAACAGATTCATCAAACGGAGCAACAATAAAATCCAGGCAGGGACACTGCTGCCAGTATCCACCATCTCAGCTCAGTGCATTCAAGGAGGGAGGAAAGTGTTGTCATTTGTTTTCATTGGTCGGCCCACTTTCCTTCAGCATACAGCAGAGAAAGAATGTCCAGTTTATTAGGAACACCATTCAGTCAAATAAAACAGTCCTGCAATGAATCCTCCCTCATGAAGGTTATAATGTGCAGCCTATGGAGAGAGTTGTTGCTGATTCATCTGTGTGATCATTTTTGGAGGATGTAGTTTGTAGTCTTGTATTTCTGTTATTCAGCCCTGACCTCACCGATATAAAGGGGGGTGGACAAAATAATAGAAGCACATGTCAGTATAACAACTTTTGAAAGACACTGCCTGTTAAACCTCACATAAATAAAGCTATAGTATAAAAGATAAAATAGTTTTTCCAAAAAGCATACTATTTGTTTTTATACCTCAGTCTTTATCCAGTTTGTTTTCATGTTTTGCAGCTCTGTGTGGCTCCTTCATTTTCTCTGTGCATTGCAATGGAGGACAATAGTGTCCACCAGCCCACTCACATCAAAGAAATGTAAGCCCCAGTTCCATACCAGGCACTAATTGCATACAATATGTGCTGTATACTATAAGTTACAGGGACTGTGATTAATGTGGTTAAGTAAAGATGAACAAACCAATGAAGTTTAAAAAGAACTGATTGTTTTCACCCGCTGCTGAGCAACAGTTAGAGGACTCATCTAAAGTCCAGCTGTCTGGACATCTGGATTACCTCTGTCAGACTGTCCCCCTAATCAGGACCTGTTCCCACCTCAAGAGGACTACCATCCACCCAGAAATCCAAAACAAGCTACATGTCTTCCTCGCTAAAACCAATGTTTTTGTTAAGTAGCCTTCCCTAATTGATATGAATGGGATTAACACAATAATTGAAACACCTCTCTGTATAATACAATACAATTAACAGCACTACACACCACATTAAGTGGCATCAACACGTTTGTCTCAACATTATAATCTTCATGATGGAGGATTTATTGCAGGACTGTTGTACTAGTTTTATCTAAGAGTAATGAACTGCAGACTGAATGTATATGGCCCAACACTAATATTAATGAAAGTAAGCTTCCAAAGTATAATGACAAAGCAACTCAGAAATAAATTAAACCAACTTAGAAAATACTATTTGGCAAAAAAAAAGTTTAAAAAAAAAAAAAGTTGCTGCTTAAAAGATGAGATAAAATGAATGCAGATCGATTTAATAAAAATATGAAAAAAAGGATGCAGCTATGTGCGTGAAGTTCAAACTGAAGTGTCAGAGGCTTGGTAGATGTAGACATCCTGTCAGGGACAAGGCTAGGGAGGCTGGTTTGACATGAAAATTGTGTTGTGTTTACTCAAGAGATTTCTGTTTGCGTCGTGTCTCCTACTGACAATCAACACTGGTTTTTTGGTGGCAGATCAGAAAATACAATCATTGTTGCAAGTGCATGGGCCATTGTGAAGGCAGACAAGATTTCTGTTTCAATGCATGCGTCTTTTATTGTTTAAGCCTTGTTGTGACTGACACACAATCTCTGTGGAAAGTTTTTTTGAAGCTCTTGCATGGCACTGTGTATGATATACAGCGTAGTTTCATACTTAAGTGTGATGCCTTCACTGCCCAGTTTCCACAGTTTGTACCTGTAGCAGCTTCTTCCACAGCAACACTATCAGGTCATTAAATAACCTGCAGAGAAGCAGATGCCAGAGAGAGTCCGCAATTATTTGTTTTGTTTGCTTTTGTTTTCAATAAGAATCAAACATTAAAACTTATCATTGTTTTAAATGTGGTAGCACCTGAGCACTTGATCTGTATCTTCATATTGTCATCATAGTTGTAGGTGTTGAGGGAGTGTGAAGCCTCAGAGATATCAAGCTGTGCAGATGGCTTTGATCTGCTCATTCACCTCAACCTGAGGGAAGAGACTGATTCAACAGCTGCAGCCTCACTCCCAGGGAATAAATAAATTATATTTAGCTATAGGCAAGCACATTTAAGTTCAAAGTCAAGATAATAGCTCTCTGAGAAATGCGCACATGAAAATCGCTACCACCTCTATCTTTCCCCCTCTCTGTCCCCTGGTGCCTCTTTTACACATGACCTCATATCTAAATCCGTAGCTCTGAACACTTTTCCTCTTGATTTGAAGCCTAAAAGCAGCCTGGATTGTTTTCTCAAAGTGATCTAAGAGCAGCTGGAGCAGAAACGTACCTCTCTGATTTGTTGCTAACATATGTAGACATTTAAAGCATGGAGGACAGCCAGAGGTTCCTTTTTAAAGGAAGAATGAACTCAAACACTCTGGCCAAGTTTTTGAAAACTGACTATCAGAGAGGAAGTCGTGATGGTTGATTGTACATTAGGTGAATGGTCGTCTGAGTGATACATGTCCTGGCTTCCTATTTTTATACACAGTTCTAACAACTTCATGTTTAAGAAATAAGACCAAACTATGAATCACAGTCACAGGAAATCACAGAAAAAAGCTATGAATTAACAAAAATATATTTTCAGCAAAACCTTTGGATGACATTTGTGTCTGTGTCAGTATTTCAACAGAATTCTTCTATTTGTGGAAAATAAACTGGTTCAGATAGTAATTTAGTCAGCGAATGCAAAACCCTGTCTTCTATGCCACCATACTAAAAGGTAGTCTTAAAGGAGCTATTTCTAAGTTTTGCTATAGCTAGGGTTAGCATTAACAGCTGTTTAGTTACCAGTTTTGCCAACAGCTTCATTCGTAGTTGTGTTTACAAGAGGTTATAGTACGTCCTCTGAGCAGCTACATTTTTAGGGCAGAATGGAGGCTACAGTGACTCGGTATCGTATAATGACGAGGCAGTCCGACCGGGCTGGAGTTAGCTGGTTAGCATGCTAACTTCAGTACAAGAATAGAAGTTACATAAATAGAAGCAAAACAAAAGGGTTGCTTTCCACCACTGGAGACAGCTCATTAATGCTTACGTTGGCTATGAAGCTATAGAAAAACTCTTTAAAAAACACAGAAATCAAAGCAAACTCAAGGACCACTTACTACGTTTTTCCTAAGTTTTCGACTCTATCACACAGTCTTCATTAGTACACAGAATTAGCTAAGGACTTAGGACTTCTCATCTGTTTTGACTCAAAAGTTAAGCGGCACAGTTTAATCTTGACTCATTGTAAAATAGTAAATGGTACAGTCCCGATCCAATATCAGATGATGAAGATCATGTGCTATGGCTGAAAGCTCCAGAAAAGTCAACTTTGAGTTGGGATTGTTTTGTCAAACAATTATTTTCAAGTTCAAGAATGTTATTACAGACTTAAAACATACTTTAAGTTTCATAACTTATCCAAAAACATACCATATTTTAGAATTTATTTATTGATTAAGTTAATTAATTGTTTGTTTGTTTTTTATCATTACATTTTCGTTTATTTGTTTCTATGCTTCATCAACAATTGAAATGATGGCAGCATTGCCATGACCAATAGGGTGGAAAATGTTAACAGTGTGATCTGACTGATTAATTATTTCTCCATCATCTTACTGTCACTGAGCGGTGACGTGTAACTTATCATTGTGACCAAGCATAAATTGAGCTTCACAAACTTTTCATGGTCAAAATAAGCAGGTTTTTACTTCATGGGATAGAATGCAATGTTTTGTTTTCTCCTCACAGTTGTGGGCCAGGTAAAATATCTCAGTTCGGTTTCTGTGAACGACGGGTTGACTATGAGTATTGCCTTTCAATCTCCTGTTGCTAACCTGCCCTCATCCACACAGCAGGATGTGATTAGAGCACCAGAGGCCAAATTTACACATCAGCAAGATGATGATGATGGCTCTGTGTGATCCTGGCACACACACACACATACACACACACACACACACACACACACACACACACCAGCCCTGTCTCTCAACAGGCTTTTTCAGCCCCAACAGCCTCTCATCATATACTGCAGCAGCTACACAAAGATGTGCAGGTGTTAGGTAATACCTGTTGATAGACGGCAACATATGTATAGAAAAGTGTGTCTAAATTACACTGAGGAAAGACAGAAATGAAACATGTCACAAAAGAAAAGGAGACAGCATGTACAACAGTATATTTTATATATAGTAACATTATATTTTACATTTTTGATGGTTATGGTACACAATCTCCAATGTATTTTCAAGGGAACTTTTTTTTCTTTTCAAATGTTTGATTCAGAGACAAATGCAATTTATCTTCTAGAGATTCCAGTTCATAAAGGCTACCATGTTCTTTGTATTCCATGATAGTAAATTATTAGATGGAACAACCAGCAGTGCTTCTAAAACTGTTGTAATTTAGCAAAAGAAATGGGTCAAATAACATCTGCACCTTTTGGAAGAGCTTGAATGTACTGAGCGAATTCCTTACTAATCTGTATTTATGAGATTATACCGTGTGCAAAAACTGACACATCGATATGAGGGATAGTGCAGGTCAAGCGGAAATGTTGACCTGACAGTGGTGCTAGATGAAAGTTAGAATATCCATGTGACATATCAATGGAAAATGGAAATTCACAGCTGGACACTTCTTTGGTGCGATGAGGTGAAAAAACCCACTCTGAGCCTAAAAGCCCTTAAATCTAAAAGACAAAATAGGTCAGTTGCTCCCAAAACGACCTATTTCACTGATCCAC